GTGGATGCACCAGTGTGGAATGGAGAGAGAGGTCTGGGGCCATTAATCAGAGATGCTTCATTCTGCTCTGGCAGTGGATCACACTGAAACTGTTTTCCAAATGGTGACTATTATTGGGATGCTTTGCCTTTCCTTTATCTCTCATTTTACCCCTATCAAAAAGGGGTTAATAGTTTCTTTTTTATCCCATTCCTTAGCTTGCACTAATCCGTTTACAGAGAGAGGCTTGAAAGGAGAGTCTTTTTCTGGGCGGAGTCCATTTTTTTGTGTGATTATGTTGCTAAGTTTGGAAGCTAACAGGAATGGAAGAAATTATGAAAGACAAGATTAACTTTTTTTTTTTCATTTAGCACCCTGGAATGTAAGTAAAAATGGAATATTACATACTAATATATTCCATTTGCTCTTAAATTATCCCAAACATAAGCAGACAAAGACTGAATGTAGTGATTTTAGTGATAAGTGGATAACACAGCGTGACCCAGCACAGCTAGGACGGTCATTTATTAGGGTGTGTTTTAGATAGTGGATTAATGAGCCACACCATGTTAAGAAGCTAAATCAAACATTACATTGTTACAACTGCATCTTTAACTGTACAGTGTAGCTAAGGCATCATTTACACTGCTGTCCAAAAAATGGAACTACAAAACTCATAAAATGTGCCCTTCCAAATAACTGTGTCTGAAACAAAAGAGAAAGACAATATATTATAAAAGACAATATTTGATCAATTGCTTTTCATTAACAGGACTATTTGGCAATTTTGAATAAATACCATTCTGTTTCACTTCAGGTATTTTTTCAGAGGTGGAAGAAAATTGATTGTTCATGGAAACAAAGGCAATGAAATAAATGGCTTACAGTCAAAAGTAGAAGAATTTTAGGGTCATTTATTTCATAGTATGCTGTTGTTATTTTTTTCCAAGAGTTTATAACACAATGCATCATATTTTCCCATTTTTCTACCATGTTTCAATCAGCTTTACATTAAATAATGGCTCTGAACCAAATGTCCTATCCTGCTTGGGTATAAACTGTTCTAACTGCAGATGCTTAATACACAGCATGTGCCATCAATTCTTCTGAGTGAGTTACAACAAATCAATATTGAATTTGTAAAGTCATTTGTCTTTAACTTTACACAGGGAGAACAATCCCTAGCTGAAAAATAACAACCAAGGCTTTTGTTTGTCCTTCTCCCTACAGAATTTTACATTTTTGAGTTAGAAGGGCAGTAACGGATTACCTACCCTCCTAACTCTCACACTTAGCGCTGCTAACATTGTGTTCTATAGACAAGAACGTCAAGACGAAAAGGAAACCGAAAGTAAGTCTACAGCTACCACCATGTAAAAAGGGAAGCAACTTAAGAATCCTTTGGTACCAAGAGCTTTCAACCCCAGAATGAAGAGGAGCCCCCGCCATTACTCAGGGATACAAAGCAGATGGGAAGGAGCTGACTGAATTATCCCAGGTAGCCTTCTTGCTGTATGCTGCCCAGTTATGCTGGGATCCTTTAAAGCTTTAATTAACTAGACACTTAGAACTTTCTTCAGAATTAATACCTTGATTATCTTTGGGGTTTCCTGAAAACACCATTAATCAATAATAAATGAAATTGATGAAAAACTAAGTTTGTAAGTCATTTCACTCTAAGAGATGATGTAGAAAATGGCCCTCACTATATAGATGAATTGAAATATCTACATAGCCTTTCAGGTCACTCCACCTTACACAGTTAAATTGATTCATGTTAAGGATTAGAGTGAATTGCTGAGGTTTCATTGGTAACATGAAGTCAGGGCAGGATGCAGGAACAAATTGACTTAGTGATTCCAGGGCAAAATCCACAAATGATTCATCAGACTTCATTGAGAGGCATAAAAGAGAAAATATGTAGGGCTTTTGCTCCACAACATGGATATTTGTCCTTCTTCATTTATTTAATCATCAAACACTTGCTAAGTGCTTGTTAGCTTGGGTTATATTCCATTTAATATATGTTCCATGGTGTGTGTTTGTGCGCATGTGTGTGTTTGTGCATGCATGTGTGTGCACGTGTATGTGTATGTGTGTGTACGTGTGTGTGTGTGTGTGTGTGTTAGTTGCTAAGCCATGCTCGACTCTGCAACCCTATGTACTATAGCCCACCAGGGTCCTCTGTCTATGGGGCTTCCCAGGAGAGAATACTGGACTGGGTTCCCATTCCCTTCTCCAGGGGATCTTCTCGAACCTGCATCTCCTGCATTGGCAGGCGGATTCTTTACCACTGAGCCACCACAGAACCCCATTGTGTATGCACAACCATTTCTTGAGCAAACTCTGAGAGACAGTAGAAGACAGAGAAGCCTGGCAAGTCACCGTCTGTGGGGTTGCAAAGACTCGGACACGACTCAGCAACTGAACAGCAAAAACAAATACCGCTCCTTTACCTATCCATATGTCAGCATTTAGGTTTTTTCTGTGTGTTGGCTACTGTGAACAGTGATGGAGCGGGGATAGATTGGGAGGTCTGAATTGACTCGTACACATTACTATATTTAAAATAGATAACCCACAAAGGCCTACTGTATGGACCAGGGAACTCTGCACAAAAAGGAAAAGAATTCGAAAAAAATAGATCCATGTATATGCATAATGTGATCACTTTGGTCTAAACCTGACACTAACACAATATTGTCAGTTGACTATACTCTAATACAAAGCAAGCATTCAGAGTAAGAGGACAGCTGCTCTTGTCAGTCACTCCTGTCATTCTGCAGTGAAACTAGCTCTGCACCAGTGATGGGCAACAGGTTCAGGCTTTGATCAGGGGAAGGGAGGTAGGCACCGGGAGGGGGTGGTGAATGGATAATCACACAGCCTCTGCTGTCCCATTTCTTACCCTGTGAGGAGTCTCGGGAAGAAGACAGACTCATAAACAAAAACATCCAGGTAGAAAGAAAACTATCAAAACAGAGGTCCACACAGATGAGGTGGACCAACAGTTAACCATAGCTGTCAGATCCTGTGCTAAGCATTTCTGTACTTCCTTACATCCTTTCCCAAACCCTCAGGGGGGAGGAACTGAGGTCCAGAGTGAGCTATGTTCTCTGTGCCCAAGAGGGCTGTATACTTAGATTTAATCTCAAGAACATCAGTGGCTGTTGTCTCCAAGAAAAATCCCACACTCAGGGTAAACCACAAGTGAAGAAAAGTGAAAGTGAAGTATTAGTCCCTTAGTCATTTCTGATTCTTTTAAGCCCTTGGACCATAGCCTGCCAGGCTCCTCTGTCTATGTAATTCTCCAGGCAAGAATACTGGAGTGGGTTGCCATTCCCTTCTCAGGGGATCTTCCTGATCCAGCGATCAAACCTGGGTCTCCAGGATTGCAGGCAGATTCTTCACCCTCTGAGCCACCAGGGAAGCCCAGAAATATAGAGACCATGGTTTATTGAATGGCTTGAAAAAATAATGAGACAAGTACCAAAGACACCACGTTTAATATAAATACTGAATGTAAATAAATCAGATAATCTGTATATAAATGACTTAATAAGAGTGTCAGCAACTGGCATGCCTGCAGCAAGGCTCACCGTATCTACAAAAAACATGCATCACCTTTGTGCGCCCCCTTCCACCCCATCACGATGGGAAGGGCGTCACTGCTTCCTAGGAAAAGGTTGTGTCCTGGATGGGGCTTTAGGGGCTCTGTGTCCTGGGCTCACCTACTGTGAGGAGTCAAACTATTTCCTAAGATCTTAGAAAACAAGGTCAATGCTCTGGCTAGTAAGATCCAGGTTGTTTGAATTCTTGGCTGACCTACTGTGTACAATCATTCCTCCTTCTTTTTATGTACAGCACATTCCTAATGGGTGTAGTTGCAGAATGCTCACTCCCTGCCCTATACTGGAACAGGCAGTTATAAACACCATGCTTCATCTACTCAACAAGCATCATTACCATTTACTTTTATAAATGAGGCAACTTGGATTTGAATACAATCAACACTCTCACAGCTATTGAATCCTTGTCTCTCCAGCTTCAAAGTCTGTGTCCTCTTTTCTCAGAAGCACTTAATTTAGTTTCCTCAGCCACACCTTCCGCATGAATAACATATTACCATTTATTACAAGGCTGATCTTAGAAGGCTTGCAGTTTCCTCAATTCTTCATTTCCTCTAATGATTAATTTTCAAGTCTAACAAAAAAATGTGGCGGAATACTGTTGGGAGAAAGGACGGAATGCTTTCTAACGCCAGTGAGTTATGACTCATTTGTCAATTTGTATTCAGATAAGAACCCAGACATACTTATTTTCTTTTTCACAAAAAAGCTCCTGCTTAAACGTGGCACTAAGAGATACATTTGATGTCTGCCTGTTCTGGTCTCAGACCTCATGTTGATTTGATGGAAGGGTTCACTCAATACATAGTTCTATGTTCCTATGGACTGCTTCTGCAAGGTTTTTATCCATTAAAAAAAATCAGCTTCAAAATAATTATAAACACCACATCCCCCATTTTAGGAAACACTCTGAACTGAAAACTAACAACAGTAAAACACTAAACCTTTATTTTGAAATAAGTACTTCCTTTCTTCTTTTCCTCCAGTAGTTTTATTCCTTCACTAAACCCAGTGCAATTTGAATAGCACCACCCATAATTATCAAACAGGGAGTATACATGTAAGTATACACTAGAATGGAAAGAGAAGCTGGGATCTAAACACTGAGGGTGGAACAGCTACTTAACAGAGAACTCTGGAAGGTCCAGTCTCAGACCGTGGCCCATGAGGGCAGAGGGCACAGGCGGAGTGAGATACACTCAGAATTAAGATGAACACACGCTGTCTCCAAATAGAGTGAAGTTAGTGCAGACTCTCTCTCCCAGAAAACATTTTTGAAGGTAGGAGAGCAGAACGAGATGCAGTGGGGAAGGCAGTTTAGAGAAGCACTTCTCCGGAAGTGCTCCCCTCTAATGGACACATCCATCCTCATACAGAGAGAGGGTGACTTACAGACAGAGTTCTTATGGCTGCTGTCCTTGCTGGGCATCACCTTGACTCCTCTCGACTTCAATTCAATCGCCTTTTTCACTGGAAGAAACAAAAACGTTATTAGCTGCGACTTGGAGCAATATCATGAAACTGCATTTTATCTTCACAGCATCTCCAGGCATAACTGCTTTCTTACCAACCCCTGAAATATGGGACATGTTCTAAGGGGTGAATGATGCAAACTAAACCAAGTACAAGAGCTTGTGAATAATTAACGCAAGGCTACCCGCCAGCAAGATCGTATCTTATAATCACAGTGTTAGAAGCAAAAATAATATGTGGTGAGATTATCGTCTACATCAAAACCTGCTTACCACCACTTTCTAATCTTGTTACATTCATGAAAAATTTTGAGGACAGATAAAAGGTATTTACTTATTCATCTAGTCATTTAATCACTCAAAATTTAACAAATATTCATTGGTAGGGAGCTAGTATGAGGAAATTCTGTTCTGAGTGCTTGGAATAAAATGTTAAATAAAAGGACATGAGTACTTCTAGACTCTCATAACCTATAGGCAATATAAAAATACATGTATGGTATTGATTTCTAAAATTATAGTTCTCGACTGTAAATATTTCTTGAGTTTTCTAAGTCCTACATCAAATGTTTTAAGAAATTTTACTTCTCTGGTCATTTCTGGGGGGAAAAATGTGGGAAGTCATTTGTGGGAAGAAACTAGAAAGTGAAATTTTAATATGAAATAATTTGCTTTAAACATCAAATGTATTTTATTAAAATAAAAAAATAGCAAATATTTATGATTTACATGCTTACATATGATTTACATATATGGACCTAGAGTATCATGAAACTCTGGGTTCAAATCTTTGCTCACAACCTGGTATCTATGTTGCCTGTGTAAGTTAACTCAGAGCCTGCCAATTTATCTGTAAAAGGGGTGTGATGTTTAGTTTATACGTCAACTTGACTGGGGCACAGAGTGCCCAGTTATCTTGTCAGATGTTTTCCTGGATGTTTCTGTGAAGGGGGTTTTGGGAAGAGAGTGAGTATTCAATCCCTAGACTGAGTAGAGCAGCTTGCCCCTCTCCAGGTGGCTGGGCCTCATGTAATCAGCTGAAGATCTGAACAGAACACAAAACCGACCCTTTCCTGAGCAGAGGAGAACTCTTCCTGCCCGACTGCTTCGTCCTGGGTTCGTCCTCTTTGCTTTGGAGCCAATTCATAAGCGTTGCACAAGTATAATGGCAAGCTGGCATTGAAAGTGAAAGTGAAAGTTGTTCACTTGTGTCTGATTCTTTCCGAACCAATGCACTGTATAGTCCATGGAATTCTCCAGGCCAGAATACTGGAGTGGATAGCCTTTCCCTTCCCCAGGGGATCTTCCCAACCCAGGGATTGAACGTGGGTCTCCTGTATTACAGGTGGATTCTTTACCAGCTGAGCCACAGGAGAAGCCCCCGAACACTGGAGTGGTAGCCTATCCCTTCTTCAGTGGATCTTCAAAACCAAGGGATTAAACTGGGGTCTCCTGCATTGCAGGCAGATTCTTTATCAACTGACCTGTCAGGGAAGCCCAAGCTGGTATTATTTCTACCTAAAAGACCATTGGATTATTTTTCAAAATATTTTTCCTAATTTTTATTTTTTTAAATTATGAAAGCATAATAACACATTTGCAGGAGACTTGGAAAATACAGAACAAAATTACAGATAGTTCTGCTATATACTACAATTATTTTTTTCAGTAGATAAATTAAGATGTTTAGTTGGAGTTTCTATATCAAACTCTCAAAAATTAGTAGTATGAAAACAGAGAGAAGTAGAACGATGCAGTAGACCTGAAAAGCATTATGAACCAATTCAACATGATTAAGATTTATGCAATGTCCACAGAACATCAGGGTACAAATTCTATTCAAGCTCCCATATACTATAAACCAGGAGATAATGAAACATATCTAGACACATAAAAATAAGGTCTAAATATTTACGGTCTAAAGGTATTGAAATCATGCACTCTGTTCTCTTATCACTGTAGAACTATGTTAGAAATCAGTATATCATGAGAAACGCTGGGCTGGAGGAAGCACAAGCTGGAATCAAGATTGAAGGGAGAAATATCAATAACCTCAGATACGCAGATGACACCACCCTTATGACAGAAAGCAAAGAAGAACTAAAGAGCCTCTTGATGAAAGTGAAAGAGGAGATTAAAACTAAGATCATGGCATCTGGTTCCATCACTTCAGGGCAAACAGATGGGGAAACAGTGGAAACAGTGACAGATTTTATTTTGGGGGGCTCCAAAATTACTGCAGATGGTGACAGCAGCCATGTAATTAAAACACACTTGCTCCTTGGAAGAAAAGTTATGACCAACCTAGACAGCATATTAAAAAGCAGAGACATTACTTCGCCAACAAAGGTCCATCTAGTCAAAGCTATGGTTTTTCCAGTAGTCGTGTATGGATGTGAGAGTTGGACTATAAATAAAGCCGAGCACCGAAGAATCGGTGCTTTTGAACTGTGGTGTTGGAGAAGACTCTTGAGAGTCCCTTGGACTGCAAGGAGATCAAACCAGTCAATCCTAAAGGAAATCAGTCCTGAATATTTATTGGAAGGACTGACGCTGAAGTTGAAACTCCAATACTCTGGCCACCTGATGTGAACAACTTATTGGAAAAGACCCTGATGCTGGGAAAGATTTAGGGCAGGAAGAGAAGGGGATGACAAAGGATGAGATGGTTGGATGGCATCATCGACTCAGTGGACCTGAGTATGAGCAAGCTTCGGGAGTTGGCAACAGACAGGGAGGTCTGGCATACTGCAGTCCTTGGGGTTGCAAAGAGTTGGACATGACTGAGCGACTGAACTGAACTGATGTTAGAAATCAGTATCAAAGGATATTTGAAGAGATCCCACATATTTTCAAGTGCTGTGTGACATTTATCAAGAGAGATCTTCGACTTAGCCATTGAAAGCCTCAAGAAGGTTAAGAGAGTGAAAAAACACAGAAGATGATTACAGCGAACAAAGCATTTAAATGAGAAATTAATGTCAAAGATACTTAAAAGTTTCCTTGATCTTTTAAAAATATTCTTATTTGCATGATCTCTTTGTTTCCATGACTCTGCATGTTTAGCTGAACCCAGGAGTGATGAGTGGAATGTTCCCTTCTTGACATAATACAACAGGGTCTGGCCTTGGATTTTTAATTATGGCCCCACTCATCTAGTCGTGTGGCCTGACAAAACATTTAAATGTTGTATATGTGGGTTGTCAAATCTTTGCCCATGAGCATGAGTTCTTACCTATGTTTTTTTAACAGGAGACATCAGAACGGTGAAGGTACTTTACACACCTTGGGGAGCTCACTGAGGAAGTTAGTCCTGTGTGGTAATGTGGTTCTAACTGATCATTCTGACCAGCGCCATGGCTAGACTGTGAGGCTCCTGGAGTGGACAGCACTCCTGGCGGACATGGGGAGCTCCCCACTGATGGCCCCGCATGGAAGGAGTGGCCAGTGGTGGCTGCTTGCTGCCAGCCCCCTGGGGTGGCCCTCAGGGACAGACCGCCGGGGGCCACATCTTCAGGGACAGATCATGTCAGGGAACACCCCACTGTCCCTGGGATGGGGTACTCCATCCCCACGGGATGGTGTACAGTTCCAGAACTGTCCCCAAGGGCCCTGGCGTCACTGAGGCCCTCGGGATGAACCCCCACCCAGCCCCTGTCTCCCTCCACCCCTGCTGCTCTGTCTCCTCCCGTCCACAGGGGTCACCCCACAGGGTGCTCCCCGGTGGGCATCCCCACCTCCCATCCACTCAGGACACCCTTCCAGAGAACCATTCCTCTCCCTGCTCCCTCCACGTCTGTGTCCTGGTGACAGACAACACAGCAAACGGAAGCCACATCAGGAACCCAATGTCCCTGCAGAGGAGTTATGGTCTCCACATCAGGTCTCCCCAGAGCACGGCTTTGCTCTGAACCAGCATGCCTTGATGTCTCTCCCATGACACCAAACTTCTACGCTGAAACAACTCTATCTGGAAGTTACCCAGGAGAGAGAAGACAAATGCACAATAAGTAATGAATGTGGCAATCGATGCAAGATAATAAAGAGCAGAAAACTCAAAGCAAATGTCACCCAAAATAAACAGATAAAACAAACAGGACTTGAGGCTTTCAGAAAACAAAAAAAGAAAAAAGAAACATGAGTAACCTTCAGGGTGCAATAACAGTATCTGAACATATAAGTTTTAGCAACAGTCTAATAAATTTCATAATTTTGCAAGTAACTGTATGTAGCTGAGTGAAGCTAGGGAATGCACCAGGGAAGTTTTTTGATTTTTTTTTTTTTCTCAGTATGATGGGGTTATACCGCTGTACTCGCTCCCCTCCTCTGATTTACATCCTCTTACTGGACAGCAATGTTGTAAAGAAAAGGAAGAGGCCCTCTTCAAAGGGTCTCTCCCCTCCTTACCCCCTGAGGCCCCTCTCGCCGTCCACCCAGAGTCCTCCTCCCTCCCTACGCTTCAGGGCTGGGGAGAGAGATTTCCACTTCCACGGTAAGCAGCAGCCATGAGGAAGAGGGTAGCAAAGGCAGACAGTTGCCTCCTCAGAAAGACCAGTGACCCAGAACAAATTTCCCCGTTGCCCAGCTCTTTCCCATGAATGCCCAGATAACTGGTTCTCAAAGCTTGGAAAGAGTGATAAAACACTCTTTCTGAGTCATAAAAATGCTAAGTTACTAAATACAGAGGCAGAAGTCATTGAGAAACCTCACAAACTATGGAGGAAACTGTTTCACATGATATATCAACTGCTGACAAATCTAAATAAACCAGGTTTGGAATTAAAAATATAAGCCCCGTTTATTGGTCATATTATTAACTCAGCGCATTATTGTAATTTTACTAAAATTTCTTCAAGCTAAAAAATCCCATCTAAGTGGCATATCAAAAGAATATTCACTATCATTAATAGCAATAATAGAATTTCTTCAAGCTAAAAAATCCCATCTAAGTGGCATATCAAAAGAATATTCACTATCATTAATAGCAATAATAGTGAA